AAAAGTTTGGTGGTGTGTGTGTGTGTGTGTGTGTGTGTGTGTGTGTGTGTGTGTGTGCGCTGGCACTGGCTTGCCGACCCACTGTCTCCATCTGTGGTTAACTGAGCTCTCTTTAGCAGAGAACATCTCCTCTCCCTTTTCTCCTCTTCTTCCATCAATAGAGTCTTTGTCAGTGTTGTTCTTCATCATTTATGCATTAATGCAACATGACATAAAAGGAAATAATGTCCTTAAAAATAAAAAATGTGGGCTAGTATTTTCAAAGTGATTTGAATTTAGAGTAGTGCTTGAAGCTTTTATTTGGTGGAGAGGAGTAAAATCCTGTGATGATCCTTCATAATGTAGCTGGGTGGCTGTAGTTGTTTCATCATGAGAACAATCATGAGAATAATTTAAGGGTATTGACAGATGGTCATTTTTTATGGCATACTCCTGAATCACTTCATCATCACTATGGAAACTGTGTGTGTGCTCCTTTAATTTGAGTGAACTGAGCTGAAGGTCCCACAGATTTGTTATATTAAACTGTAATCTTCAATCATCTCTAATTTATTGGATCCCCAGCTGCTTCTCTTGCTGCCCCCATCCTTTGAGTGTCTTTGCTTGTGCATGAGTTCGCATATACATATGTATGCCATATATGCATGTGTGTCCCCCAAAGCAATAAAGTCTTTCATTTTTTTATATCTCCATCTCCCATATTCCCACCCACACATAATTGAACAGCACTGCAGCCTGTGAATATTGTGTTAGAGAGACACCCGCTGGTAGGTGTAGGGAGTGCACTTCACATGTTACCTACTGAACATAGAAGCCCTACCCATTAAGGAGCTCAGACAGGTGCTACTAATTTAGATTAATGAGTGGAGTAGAGGTGGACTTTTTCAAGGCACAGTAACAGGTCTTTGAGAGCCAGAATTCTTGCTGTTTCTCAGGTGTTCAAATACTTATGTTCAGCAGTCCAAGACAAATAAATTCTTTAAAAATCATACAATGTGATTTCCTGATTTTTTTTTTAATTCTGTCTCTCAGAGTGGGAATGCACCTACAATGTGAATTTCAGACCCCTCCATGATTTCTAAGTGGGAGAACTTGCAAAATTGCAGGGTGTTCAAATACTTCTGTTCCTCACTGTATAGTTTCATTACTCCTGTCTCACCAGCTGATGCAGCAATTGCAGTCATAAAAAGTAAGGTCATACTGTACAGGATTATATGATGTGATTGTTAAATGAGAATGGGGAAAACACAGCGGTGGCTGTTTTCTTACCTCCAGGGTGCCTCAAACCTAAGCAGTGTGTGTGAGAGACAAAACACATCAATTTCCCTGTGATTATGAGACTCCAAAAGGACACATTTTAACATAAGGCCAAGTTATTTTGTATTTTATTAAAGCAACCAGGGTATTAAATTATAGCAGAAGCAAAGGTTAAACAGTTCCTGATGTTAGTGTTTGTATGTACAATATGCAACACAAAGTTGTATTCCAATCTTGGAAATAAATCATTTTGCTGCATTATAAAGGATGCTTTCAAGAATGTAATTGTGGTTAAAGGCTGTACAACTTCATTTATTATTATTATTATAATACAACAGAAAGTAAAACTTGTATTTACTCACCATGGTTTTTGAAGAGGAGGAGGATGATG